TCCCCATTTGAAATATGAGGAAGCTTTAAATCTCAGTGGAATTGAACATCTTTCCACTCACCATCAAAACGGCTGCAAGAAATTGTTTAATGCAATTATCAAAGATTCTAATCACAGTCTACATTACCTCTTGCCGTCAAGGCATAACTCCATCCACGACCTGAGATCTATTAGATTTTTTGACGTTCCAGTTTGTAAAACCAATCGGTTTAGTAATAGTTTTATTATGGCATCGAGTAGCAAAACTGAATAGGTTTTACTATTCATTTACCTATTTTATATTCTTAATAACTTTTGCATGCTTATTATAAACAGACACTTTTGACAATTTATTATAATACTTTGATATATTTCAAAACTCTAATTTTTAATAATTTTTAATTGTAAGTATAATACGCAATTCAGCTCATGGCTGCAATGTATTTACCATTTCTAAATAAAGTATAAAGGACCCTAGCTTTCGTGGACCACTTCTCGATAGATGCATCTAAAGCCTGGTTTCCATTAAATCGTAATCATCGCAATAGTCGCGGATCGCAGACATCGCTATCGCAAAAATCGCAATAAGTCTATCTTTGCGACTTTGTCGTAGGAGTCTTAGTGATCGGTGTGACTCAAGTTTCCAATAAATCGCAGTTTTTATTAAATCGTAATTGTCGCAAGAACCGCATTGCAAGGGTCGCAACGATTTTAAAAACGCGAAAATTTTAATAAAAACTGCGATTTATTGGAAACTTGAGTTACACCGATCACTAAGACTCCTACGACAAAGTCGCAAAGATAGACTTATTGCGATTTTTGCGATAGCGATGTCTGCGATCCGCGACTATTGCGATGATTACGATTTAATGGAAAATGTATATAGTAACGATCAGTGCATGTATTTAACCAATCAATTTGCGCATGTGAAAGGTAGTAGTAGTAATATAAGTAGTGGAAGTCAATATCTGAACCGGCCTCTAAAAAGCATCTCGATTTCGAAGCCGACGAAGGTTCTATAATAGCGCGATGGTTACATACACGCATGGAAAGTTTAAATCTATTTAATGTTTATTTGGTTTTAATAATAGATACCTACACGCACTCTTCCATTCCTTATAGTTGTAAATATTAATACCAAAATTGAAGTTGCATGAACCAAAATTGCGCGAGGCCATTCCCCTTGCATGGCCTCGCGCGATTTTGTTCTCGCCGTGGAAACAAATCAACAAGCGATATGACAGGTTGCAAAACATGAGGTGTATCAAATAAATCTCCAATTTATTCCAACCATGCACTACAAATGAATACATGAAAATTTTCAGCGGGCACTTTTATTCTTACTGATGTTTACTAAATCAATAAAATGCCGTTGATAAATTAAATGCAAGAGTAAAATAATGAAGAAAAATTTGAAATAGAATTATATGTTAACATAGTTAACTTTATCATGATATTTACTATTGTACCAGTCATGACCTGTCTTTTAGCAAGTGCCCAAATGGATTTTGTTTGCCAGGCTATTGTTCTTTGCGACATGAAATTTTAACAAGCAAAATTACTGTTGACATCTCTTGATCTTAGTTTGAAGTGCGTTCAGTTAATTTCAACTTTAAGTGAAATTTTCCTCGGTTGCTGATTTTGCAAGGCGAAACTGGTTTCCTAGTTCAAAGCTAAAAATCTGGTGTTCAGCATGACAGCATAGTAAATAGTTTTGATCTATGGTAAGCAGCTTATTTTTAATGTTTTTATATGTGACATCAGCTCTTAAATAGTCTTGTTTGGTAATAGGGAAAATATTGTATATAGTCATATATTATGATAGTTCTCATTTTCAAATCATATATTTACGCCCGTTCAGGACCTCAGGTTATAATATATGACTCATCATATATACCTTATATTAAATAAATTTTGAAGATTATTGATAGTTGTAAAAAGCAAACGTTAAGTTAAAATTATACGAAGAACTACAGGGTAGTTAACGATTCGGAAACAATGGTCGTCGAAGCCGGCAAATATACAATCTGATACTTGATAGATATATATAGTTCAGTTTTCAGATGGATTTTATTAGATTAGATTAGAAAGTATATATATAAATTAAATATTTTCAATGAATTGAAATTTCTATGTTTGAACTTTGCTGAAGCAATTGTCAATGCCAATTATATGCTTGCATGCAAGTCTGACTGCATGAGTATTCATGTAACCGTTACGACTTACGGTCAGGTTTTCAATTGAAATTAGTTCACTCACTCAAATATAAGATTGGCGTATACTATAGTAAGGTGAAAATTCTTATAGACTAGTTTCTCAACGAGCTCTATGGAAACCGTGTTCACCGCGTTTCAGTCCCGCGGCCTATATAGCACAATTACTATACTATAGTCTGAGTAGCTCAGTGTTTACTAAAATGAACTTGACTTGCGTATTCGCAGCCACAGTACTACTATCCAGTATAGGAAATTCCTGCAGTAATTTTTCACACGACGTCACGAGTCAATTTGGAGTCGACTGATCTTGAACAGAAAAGACTTCTTTACGGCAGCTTATGCTGTTAGAGAACTAGAGATAAAAAATATTAAACACGGTTATTTCACCGACTTGTTGAAGACATGTTACATGTGGTTATCGTGTTGTGGAGTACTAATATGTAATGTATCAAAACATACTATCAACTTGATACATAGGCCTATATCCTCCTTATAATTATCAGTTACAGAAGAATCAAACGACTCATTATTCATTAGAGCTAATAGTCAAGGAATCCACTACGACTTACAGAAAACGAAAAGTCCGTTATAAACTACACTTGACTCTGAATTAATTTTTCAATGGCAAGTAACTGTACGACGGACATAAAAATTTCAGAATTCTGCGGTGAGACTGTGACCAAGCCGCATTTTGGCTTTCAAACCGTATCGGCAGCTACAATTCCTTGTTCACTTGATTTATGAGTATTGTACTTGGTAAAATAATGCAATATCACTGGAAAAAATTTTGAAAATCCATAGAAGGTCATAGGCATAGAATGGAAATTGTATGGGCCTTTTTTGGAAATAGAATGGATTTTGGTTATCCATAATAATTGTATATTTCCAGTATGGATATAGTATGGAAATAGGATGGATATACTATGGATTTAGTGGTGCAATTGCAACTATTTCGTAGTATGGATTTCACTTTTTTTTCCAATATTATTGGATTAATGAATGTAAAATCGGAATATTGGTCCGGCTACTCTGCACTATATATATGGCTATACGGGATAAAATAACATATATAATATAGGTATGTAATGCTGTGTCGGCATGGATATAGTTACTTGGTCATCTATATTCAATTTCACCGACATATTTCTTATAATTTTTAATTAAGCTTTCATTGTTGTAAACGTCTTTTGTCCCTGAGCATTCATGTGGAACTTTACTTACTTGTACTTGCTTTATGTAGAAAATTTTTTAAAATTATTTTGCGACAAAACTAGACAATAGCTCTACGTCTATGCCGACAACGGCGACAAGCTTTAAGCTCAAGTGACTTGTGAAATCATACAACATTTCGTCGTTTTTGAACACATCATTCGTAATTTTAATTGAACCCTTCTGCAAATATTATACAAATGCTGCTTTTGTACACCTTTTAAACTGATAAATGTTTGCATGTTTTATGAAATATTTTAAAAGTGTGACTGACAACAAAGACTTCAGCGAAAGACATAGGGATTCACCGAATCAAACTGATTATACAGCACCATAATTTTAATATCTATATACTTGTTACTACACAAAGTATCTATAGCTGCATTTACCTCAACTGACCACTTTCATAAACTGATGATTTCGTGTATTGTCAGTTTCCATTTGATTGATTGATTGATTGATCGATTGATTGATTGAGCTGCTGATCAGTCAGTATGCATGATTATTATACGAGCAAGTAAACTAAGTGGGGGCATACTAATCATCGTTAGACCTCACACTTGCATCTGAGAGCTATATAAGCTGAACTGCAAAGGACGCATGCATATGCAGCTCAATCTGTCGGAAGACTTTCCGAGGACGCCTCTGCATGACAGTTATATCCTATGACTCATATCTTATGATGGAACGCAGCTGCGATAAAGGAGTCGGTTCGGTGCGATCCCAACCCACCCTGTCAACATTTCCTGTGGGAGGAAACCACATGCACCTAGTGAAAAACCAGACTTTTTCAAGTTTTTAAAGTTTTTTAAAAAAATAGTTTTTAAAAGAGTTTTGAAAAGCAAGAAAAGTTTAAAAAGTTAGATTTTTAAAAAAGTTAAAAAAATTTAAAAAGTTAAAACATTTAGGGGAAGGGGTTAGTGGTTAGGGGTTAGGGGTTAGGGTTGGGGTTGGGGTTAGGGTTAGTGTTAGGTGCCGCGAATTTATTATTATGATAAATTCAAAATTTGCCGCGAATTTATCATAATGATAAATTCGGACGTGTTTAAGAATTTACTCATATAGTAAATTCAAAGGTGGAGCTCATGCTGGGCTATAACGTCACTGAAAAGTGCTTTTCAGAAGTTTTCTATCTTGTTTTCATTCATTGCGTAAAATGCCAATAAGTTAGTAAGCTATCGCTTTCTTATTTTACAGGTAAATTTTCAGCCGTAAATTAAAGAATGAAGAACCTCAATACCATATTATTAGTGTTTACGGGAGTTTTATATCTGAGTGCTTATGAAGGTAAGTAATTGTTTGGATTCTGATATTACTTGATGATTCAGGGGAAACACATATTATTAGAATATAGTATAATTGCTACCTCGTCCCCAGGCGCTAATAAAAAAATTCATGCGAGTCACTATATGAAAGGTTTACATGAAGTAGTGCGTCACATTATAGGCGCGCAAAGGGGAGTAGAAACTCCCTGCGCTTGTTCGTCGCGATGCACTACTTCATGTAAACCTTTCATATTATGACTCGCATGAATTTTTTTATTAGCGCCTGGGGACGAGGCAGGTATTATAATTTGTCAGAATGGCGCATATGCTAGCCTGCGCGCAGACTATACAATGCTGCGCGCAGGCTACGCATATGCATGTGTGTATATATTTTGATTTCTCTGACTTACTGATTTATAATACCAATTCTTCCGAATTTCAGCAAAATGCCGAGGAAAAAATGCCGCTAAGTTAAAGAGAAGTTTGAAGCTTGCGATATCTTCAGATGATATAAACAATCGCCACAAAGCTGGATTAAGAAAAATATTTCGCAGGAAGAGAGACACTAAAGATGAAGAAGTGACAGAGAGTAAGTTGTCATCAACCCGCTCTATAGCTCTACCTGCTCCTGCCAATTCCTAACCTATAATCTGTATATCAGTATATATATGAAGATTATCCTCGTTCTGAAATTCTTTCTTTAGCAGAGTTTATCTTCTCTTTGATCAATCTGCCTGAAGATATTAAATCATCCTACTCTGTTGCCACACAAAGACATTATACAGACAAAGTTAAAACTTTTTGACGTTGATCAGGCCTATATAGGACTTGGAAAACAGTTTGTTCTAAATGTCGTTCTTGTATTATCATAACTTGTTGTTCGTATAGATGTGAATAATGTTTTATCAGTTGTGTCTTGTTGTATTGTTTTAAAATCCTGTTTGTGCACATTGTATTTAATATATATAGGCCTAGGGTATAGGACTCCATTTGGCACTATATATACTGTATAAGTCATATAACAGTCCTGTTGTCTGCACCGCATCAATCGATTGGATTAACAAGCTAATGGAAATTATTGATTCTCATTTTCTCAAAACCAAGCTGAGAGATATAAATACACCACCTTGGATTAACGGCCCAGTTATGCATCTTGTCAGAAAAAAGAATGAAGCTAGAAAAAAAGCTATAACAACTAAAAGTATACTTATTATGGCGAAAAATATCAATCTCTTCGCCGACAATGCAAGTCGCTCATTCGTTCCAACTACCAGGAGTACATTGACTCTTTAAATATGTCTACGAGTAAGAATCCTAAACGAAAAAGAAATCGCCATCTATACCAACAACTGTAAAGTTCTGCAATCAAACCTATCGCTCAGCACCTGACCAAGCCGAGGCATTAATACATATTTCCACTCAGTTTTCTTCCTTGATGACGACTCTTCCATATCGCATTTACATGAAATTCAACAAACGTGTGATTTAACAGCATCCGATTCCTATACGTCATCTCTTCAATTAGAGGTGTCCGTTGAAGAAGTTGAAAAACTCTTGTAGTAAAAGAATGTGTCTCCGAACTTGCCCCATCCGCATGTAAGCTATTTAATAAATCTATCTCCTCTGGAACGTTTCCTCAGCAAGGGAAAGAAGCCTAGTAGTATCAATTCACAAAAAGGTGATCGAAACTTTGTGACGAACTACAGGCCCATTTCACTGCTTTGTATCCTCTCAAAAGTGCTAGAACGTTGCGTATTTAACAGGCTTATTGATTATCTCTCACACTCTCTATCAGAACACCAGCGTGGGTTCCTCAAAGGTCGCTCTACTGTAACCCAAATGCTTTGTTTCCTTCGCAAGATTGGCGAGGCTCTTGATAAAGCCTCCCAAACAGACATTATCTATCTGGATCTGTCCAAAGCATTCGACTCTGTATCACACTCTCGCCTCCTTTTCAAATTACACTCAGCTGGTATTAAAGGATGTTTATTCGCCTGGCTCTCAGACTACCTAGCTAACAGAACACAGTGGGTACTTGTAAAAGGTTGCACGTCCAAACCTTTACCAGTAACTTCAGGAGTACCTCAAGGCAGCATACTTGGGCCACTTTTATTAATCTGGTATATCAACGACCTGCCCGATGCTGTTTCTAACTACACGTTAGTCTACCTGTTTGCTAATGGCGCAAAGCTTGCTAGAATCGTCAATTCACCATCGGACGTTAGAGAAATCCAGTATGATATCACTAAAGTCAGCTCTTGGACTCACCACTGGTCGTTGAAATTCAACTTCGAAAAGTGCGAATCTCTATCCGTCACTCGTAAAAGGCAACCGGTGAACAGTGTTTATATTATTAATGGCAAACCAATCTCAAAAACCATACCTCAGAAAGATCTAGGTGTGTTAACCACCCCAACTCTCAAATGAGATCTTCATACGTTACATATTTGTTCCAAAGCCCAGAAAATGCTGGGATTTCTGCACAGAACTTCAGATCCTCGTTTTAGCAATTAGCATCGAACCCAAACGCTCCTTATACCTAAGCTTAGTCCGTTCCAATTTGGGCTATGAATAAGAACAATTTCCGTGTTACAAGCGGCGGAAAATTTCCTGTGTTGACATGGAGTTATATCAACACGGCTCTTAGCCAATCAGCGTTCAGAATTTACAAATGCTATATTATAAATATATATATTGCACAATGAAAGCTTAATAAAATAAAATAAATAAAATCGTATACTAATCGTATAATAGATTGTAAAGTTAATAAAACAAAATTCGGTCGAGTCGAGTATTGAAATGTTTTACATGTAGCGGAAACAGTGAACATAGGATAAGTTAGGATAGTTAATCTCAATCGTTTATATAATTTTGCTAATTTCACGAACCTACGTTTTTAATAGGTGATAAATTTACAGCAGAAATAAAATTTCTTCAAAAATGGAATCCTGCCATGAGCAAAACGGACGGAAGTGCATATCGCTTATTTCAAGGAAATGTTCTTGATGCAGTGAGTATATATTTTATGACATAGGGCTAGGCGTTGGGGCAAAGAAATGGGCGACGACATACTTTGTCCGAAAAAGACAATATTTGCCCGAATCTGAATGTTTAACAATTCAGACCTCAAGTAAAACACGGTACTCTTTATACCTGTACTACAAAAAGTATATTAGTGGTTTTTACATTCCGGAATTCGATATTATCCATTTCCAACTAACGAGACGACCCCCCGCCCTCCCTCCCTCAACTAAATTAAGAGCAATTTAATTGACAAATTTTACTCGGCAAAAGACTAAAATTCGCATGACCGAACAATGCGGCAAGGCAATGCAATTGGCAATCTATTAGATTACAGTTGTAAGTTTTCAAACTGTGAGGCGACGCTGTCCTATGCTCGACACCGTTGAGTACCAACTGTAGTTGGAAGAATTGAACGTTCGTGCAAAGAAGTTACAAAAGAGGTTTGCAAAGACGTGTGTAGCCTCCGGATATGCGAGGTATCTCTCTTTCCCAAAATTCTCCAAGACAGATTATGGGTGTGTCCACATTGCACACATCTTATATACTCAGCTGTTAAAAACATTGCATTTCTTTATCATGGTAAAATGCAATCAATACTGTCCGACTCTTGGGTAGAAATTTTCCGACTGTCTTACCAGTATTGTTCATTCGGCGAATATATTTTCATGAACATAATTCCTTTTTACAGGTCTTAGAGCAAATGAATGCTGATCGAAGGTTTATCAATTCTCGCGTACTTGATCTGAAGTAAGTTCTCAGAAAGTACAAATTCTTCCCGAGGGAGAATATCCTCTCACGCCTCTAACGTACCTCTTAGTACTTATATTTTGCCCTGGGCCCCATATGTTTCTGGGCGGCCCTGCATGGTTAGTTGTCGTTACTATTAGGAATAAGCATATGTATATACTGATATACTTCTTCACAGTATAAGTACTGGCCTTAAATGCAAGTTTATTTCCATAAAATGTCTAGTTGTCTAGGTCAGTACAGCAGAATTAAGGACGCACCTTTTTTACATTTCCATTGTAGGAGGTCAGCCGATTTTATTTAATAGAAACCTTTGCAAGAACTCATAATGGTGTCTAGTATAGACTTTCTCAAAGTCCGTGTCATTTTCCCGCCTTCCCCTGTGAATATATAACTGATGATTTCTTCCATTGATGTCAAAGATATATAGAATTTTCTGTACGCAAAGATCTGAATTGAAATTCATACTAATTCGTGGGAAGTTTGCTTTGAATTTTAGGTTAACCTAGGGGTTAAGCTAATCGACTTTTGAACAACCGTCCACTGGTAATCACTGAATTAAAGCATGAGCAGCTCACCATAAATTAATGTTGCATCTCAAATATGATGCATTTTCACGTTTTTCTTCTTTGGGAATTAATTTTATCTCAATATTGCTCATTACAGGAAAACATCAGATGGCATTCTTGCAAAAGTTGGTTTTCACTTTAGAAAGGGTGAACACAATCCAATATCACATGTACGATTCGTTGTCTCTCAGGGACATTTATCAAGTCTCAAAGTTGATAAACATTATTTCAAAATCCTCAAAACAACAGGTAAAACATTATTCTTACTCTCTGAATATATTGTTTTAACTCTTAAGACAATGTGAATAATTTCCATTGCTTTTTTAATGTTTTTCTTTTACTTCTCTAACTAATATCTAATTGTAATAATGAACATCGTGGAGAACCGGTTTGAATGCAATGTCTTAGAGATAACGACGACATTTTAGCCGATCACGTAACTGCATGAACTGAAACTTTTAATACATATAAAAACCGTCTTCATAACAATTTTTACATCCAAACCTAATGAAAAATATCAAAAGAGTTCTGATATCATATGTCAGTCTGTAAAGTTATTTGTGAAAATCGATGCGTTTTAATACAAATATTACACTTTCGTTATTGGCCAAAGGTTGGATGGCGACTAGGTCTATATATAGGGTCATCCATGTTGCAACATGGCAGAAAGAAACGAAACACATATTTCAATAATGTTTCAATATAGTGAAAAGTCGCCATTCTTTCTAAAATTCAAAAGGAACATTATAAAACCGTTTGCTTACATATGTCTTAGTAAAAGATATTGCATTTGAAGAACATTTACGTGCATAAAACTTTTATATTAGTTATGCGACACTACATTATCGTTTTTACTTTAATTTGAAAATCAAAATTTCGGAATTAAAATAGAATACAACGCAGTGTGCTTTCGCTGGTGTTATAAATCCCATGTGCACTATTAACATATTGAAGCCACGTGACATTCTAGTGCAAGTCGCTTATTTAATGATAATAATATTATAATTGTCTTAATGGTTCTCTGGGTTTTAAAAAACACATGTGTGGGTTAAAGACAGTCTCGTTATTTTCCAGCTAAATTCTCGAATGAGGATGACAAAGGTAAAACGTCTACTCAACAACAACTTATGAAGCCACATAATCCTAGTGTGCCAAAACAGGAACCTAACCAGAACTCAGCAGCACAACAAGCACATAGTGAATCCCCATCTGCTACTATTAGCGGTCAAATTCAAGCTCAACCTGAAAAACAGCTGCCAAATACTTATCAAACTCAAACCCAACCTTCGACTGGATATCCGAATCAACCTCAGAACGAGGCTGCACCTCAGGCTTCAACTCAGGCCTCTACGCAGAACAAGGGAACCAGCGGGCAAAATCAAGAGCAAAGTACAATAGCTAATGCACAAGCTCAACAATCTGAACGCCCTCAAGATCAGAATACAGCTCAAGTAACCACTCAACAGCAAACACAAGCACCAGATCAAGCCCAGAATCAGAAATCTGTTCAGGGACAAGATAATGCACAAGTTTCGGAAAACCAATATCCCACCAATCAACCGCAAACACAGTATCAAACTGAAGCAGCAGCGCAACAACAAACCAACACTCAGAAAGGAGATGCATATCAAACAGCAGCGCAAACCAATGCCCAATTAACACAAAACACACTTAACCCATCTACCAATGTTAAAGGTGATCAAACACAGCCTAATCCCAAACCAGCAGAGAATGCGCCCCCTGTACAAGTGCCGAGTGAACAAGAAAATGAGAAGAACAAGGAATCTACTTCTTTGGAGCAGAATGGAGATGCATATCAAACAGCAGCACAATCCAATGCCCAATTAACACAAACCGCAACTAACCCGTCTACCAATGTTAACAGTGATCAAACACAGCCTAATCCCAAACCAGCAGAGAATGCGCCACCTGCACAAGTGCCGAGTGAACAAGAAAATCAGAAGAACAAGGAATCTGCTTCTTTAACTAAAAGTAAGTAAACTTTTCTTAACTTCACGAGCAGCTGTGAAAGAACACAACAATTTAGTCGCTTCAAAGCAATTGAGTTCTGGAGGTGGTAGGTAGATTAAGAGAGGTTTTCATTAGAATGAAGGATTCTATTACATACAAAGATCTTCGTCAATTTTACTCGTGGACACTTTTTGTAGCAAGCAAACAATCTGCTTATATATGCATGCATGTGTAACCAAACTAAGTCTCCTCCACAAGTATCTAAGTTTTCATTATTGTTGTGGTTTGTTTGTTAACCTGGTAAGACACAACGTACCCAAATCGCCACTCCTAATATTAACTCCATTTATATCAAATTAGACTAATAATTTTACTTTTTAAGGGGCGATAATATATCTCCATTATTTAAATTATTTAAATCATTAATATGTTAATTATCAATTTATCTGCCGACAAATCTTCTTAACCAGATATCACTGGTTTTGGTTATTTTATATTTTTTACCACGTAAAATTTAATTTTCAACCTCGTCTAGACGATGATGAAGAAAATGTAGCTATCAAAATGAACCAAGCTTGGTTTCCATTCCTTAGCAATCACGACAGTCCACAATATAAAATGTTGGCGGGTAACTTGGAGAAAGGAGTGAGTACTAAATCCACCGTGTAGTCAGTTTATTGTATAAATTACTTGATTAATGATTACTATAAAAAGTTACTATAAAAAGTTGGTGCGTTTTGTGCACTTGGTGAGTGCCAACGAATAATAGTGAAATAAAGATTTGGTGAACTTTTACTTTCTTTATATTTGCCACAAGATATAAACTTTACTTTATCACGTATTTATCGGTTATCGGAATTGATTGCATTTTCTGCCTTCACAGTACAAGTAAATTTCTTATAAATTATATTGCACCTGATCTACGAAAAATGTACAACGTTTTAAAATTTTATTTTTGTAATTTTAGCTGAAATCAGTGACGGAAGACGACAAAAATATTAAAGATATAAAAGTGAAGGACTTATTGTAAGTATAGTTTCTGCCCAGAGCATTGGTTATGTAGGAATGGCCGTGGGGACGAGCCTGAACACCACTACTGACACAAAACTAAGACATGTTTTCATGTAAATAATTAATTTCAACTACGTATGGTTCGTACTCTTCCTGAACTCTCTTGTATCTGACTCAAAACTCAAGGAGTTTCAAAATCTGAGGATTGTCGATATAAAGCCATGAGATCCACGTGAGCTCTATAACCGCTGATATATTGTTATTAGAGAAATTCTCCCCACTTCATCGAAGAAGTAATCGTAATAACATACTACTTGATGATTTTTGCAGGCAAGCTGATGAAGGGCACACCACAGTGGAATTTCGTCTTAAATTCAATGGTGCCAAAGAGGGTTCAACACAAAAATTAAGAAAAATTGTGAAAACTGGTGATATTGCAGGAATTTCCGTTGATGCAAGTTTTTTCAAAATAGAAGGTAAGTTTGAAATCCACCTATACAGTGTTACAATTCGCATTGTTTGCCTTCGATGATGTATAAAAGTACCCAAAGCTGTAGGTATAACGGTAAAAAATTCCATTGTCTTTTGGCTCAATATTTCCCCTATCTAATAACGAAGATCAATGAATAAGATGAAGAGATGACTTTTGAAAGTTGTAAAATGAAAATTGTGGATTGAGGGCTATAGAGAGAAGATTGAATCGGATTGAATGATTTTATCGTAAAAAATCAGTGCAATGAAGGTCACGCCTAATTATATTGTTTGACAATCGCGCACGTTCAGGGAGCTGATGCCTCTCGTAAGCGCTCTGGCAGACTGACTAGGAACATGGCGAATGCATTTTGATGACGAATCATTGCAATCATTCAAATAATTTTGTGTCACAAAACGTCGATCTGATTCACAAGGTCTTTCCTCTACCTTTTTGCCAAAAGTTACATTCTGTGAAGATTGAGTGTAGAGACTTTCGAGCAATTCTTTCTTTAAAAATGGTTTGAATATTGAATAATTTAAATTTTGGAAAGTCCCCCCCCCCCAAAAAAAAAAAATCCTGGGTTATACTCATTCTAATATGTTTTTATCTGTTGTTATTGCAGATAACAAAAAAATTGGGGCATGAAAATGAAGAAACTGTAACAGGTGTTGAGAATAACAATTAGTTTCTTATCAAGACTAAATCATAAAATAAACGTTTTGATTTTTAAAATCTTAACTTCAAATAAATATATTAAATAATTAATTCATAAAGATTGATATCATTTATAGTTTAAACGTCTTAATTGTTTGATTGTATAATTTCTATCCTTGACCTTGGTGCCACTTTTATTTTACTTGCGCAATTTAAGAGTTTGTTATGCATCTTAAATGTCTTAAATGATTTCGATTTGCCGCTATTTCCAGTCCAGTGGCGCCGCCAGCGCGATAATTGGGGGGGGCGAATATTCACATCTTCGTGTTCTGCATTATTAACTTCTTTTTATGGTCTGTGAACACAAATATATGAATATTCGCCCCCCCCCCCCAATTATCACGCTGGCGGCGCCACTGTTCCAGTCTCAAAATTAACTTGTTTGGTTCTCATAACAAGATTACACTGCATGCATTCATAATCAACGTACAGCATACGTACAATGTGAACAGAATTTGATTTCGTATACAGGGTTTATTATGGTCAGAGGCGAAACGTCGGTATTACGGCTGGGGAGCCGGCAGGGGCGTGGCGAACGATTCCAGATTGGGGGGGGCGTCATACCATAATGACCAACTTTTTCAATGAAAATGACCAACGTTTTCGTGTTTAAAAAAATTTTTCTGGAAATTTTTTTTGGCGACCTCGCGTTTTGAAGTTTTTATGCTCACCCAGAGATGCTCACCTTTAACCATTCACGAGCATAACGAATAGAATAAAGGTATAGCGTTTATCTGTCACTTTGCCCACTTTTCATTAAATATAAATCAGGTTTTTTCAAAATTTGCCCGACGAAATTATATGATCATACCTGAAGAGATCAGTGTAATAGAGACCCCCCCTCCCCCGCCGTAGTTTCGCCCCTGTTTATGGTAATATATACTACTGGTAAAACACGAGCAACAGTTTTGTAATTATCAGGTCTAAAACATTATGATACTGAAGGAAGTCGGATACAGCTGAGATTTGTACAGAGCAGCGCAATCTGAGGATGCCAAAAACATGACACATGAAACATGGCACTTATGAATGGTCAAGTCTTTTTTTTCCAAATCTAAATCTAAACCAAATCACATAAGACTTTGGAGTATAATTTCAAAAATGTATTCTTTAAATTGATGAATTATAATTCACATAGGTATGTGACTAACAAGTCACAATAATAATCCGATAATCGGTACTGATAATCCGTACAGCATGCCATTGTATATATAGTATATATCCCAAAATCTATATAATTATTTACAATCACTAATTTTACACTTTAAAATTTCTATATTCGGTAAAGCAACCAATAAAGCATTAATTCGTGGCTGAGAATTCATAGGGTTTCCTTAAGATAGAAAGTCGTAAGTGGTGATGATTTTGAAACAAAAACTTAGAGACACAACCGGTGAAAGCTTGAGAAAGTTCTTGTTTTACTTTCAGACATTTTCACGAAAGAACCCTAATGACTGTACTAGAGGGAAAGCATTCCTGAATCATTGAGGAGCTGAAGCCCACTTTCTATTTGAGAAAACCCCTTAAATTTAAGACCACACTGATTTTAATTAATGCTAAATTTCTATTTAAACTTGATTTTCACGATGATTCTTTTTCGCTCTTGTTTTTGGTTTTGGTTTTGGGGGGCTTCGACCTGGTGGGTGCAGTGGTTCAATAGATTTGAACCCGGTAATGTTTTGGTTGTTATCACAGTGCACCTGGTGATGTGAATCAGTAATTCCAGTGTAACTAGGTTCGCCCAGTGAAGTATTGTCCGAAGAGTGCAATCTTGATCGCTGTTGAGATTCCGAAATTGCTCCTTTATCAGAATTCCCATTACCAGTGGAGGAAAATAGATTTGCAAGGGATTTTGACCTTGGTTTGATTGTAGGACGAGTTTTCGGTTGATCGTCTGAAGGTTCTTCAGACAAGGAATAAGATCTTAGAGGTGCCTCTGGCGCGGAAACTCTTCGGTTCGGTTTAGGAGAAGCTGTTGTATGTTCTCGGTCCTTTCCTTCTTCACAAGATTTAGTGCTCTGTTGTTCTTTATTCCTATATTTTTTTGGGTCATCGATCCTACTTTGGTCTTTTATTGGCGAATTATCATTTCTGAATTCTGCTTCTTGTTGTTCTTGGCTACGTCTCCGAGGTTGAGGTTTTGGACTAACTTTATTCTTGTCTGCAGACGCCATTTCATTTTTCTTATTTCTAACAAGTTGGTCTTCCTGGCTGTTGCTAAGCTTACGATCGCGCTGTTTTGGTTTCGGTTGAGACCTTTCATTATCTGAGGCTGGTTGTTTCCGTGGTAAATGCTCCTGGTTCAAATGCTGCCCGCTTAAAGACCCTTCACTGCTGGACAGCCGTTTTTCCCTAAATTCTTTCAGCTTTTCAGGTACAGGCGGCGGAGGTCTTTCGGGGGCATCTTCTGGTACATTTCTTAAGTTTGGTTTATCAGGTTTTTTATTTCCTAAATTCCGAGGCAATTTGATTGGTCGAGGACGGGGAAGGTTGTCAGTGGATTTTGGTGGATTGCGTGCTTTTCTAGGGGGTGGTATAGGGACAGGCCTGTTAGGTGGTAGTTCACGAGGGTTTGGATTAATTACACTTCGTCTTTTAGTAACTTTAATAAGCTTTGATAACGTATCTCCTGTTTGGTTCCGGGGAGGGACAATTACAACACCTTCAACATTACCTGGTTCTTTAGAATCTTCATTTTCCTACAGAAAGCAAAAAATATGATACGATATGAAACAGCGTATGTATGATGTCACAACGTGGTAAGAATAAAAGGGTGTGATGACATTCTGTGCGTCTGTCCTCTTATCATAGTCAATAGAATAAGAAGGTTAGGAAAAGAAGGTTAGGGAACCCGATGAAGACATAATAGATGTCTCATTATCTATGTTTATTTCTTGGTTTTTGCAAGAAATGGTTGGTTCATCGTCACATGTGTATTGTATGTTCGCCAAAGCAACCAATAGCTATGTATATTTTCATTTAATTAGCCACTGTGTAATATCACGACTGGGCCAGGTAATTAAATCAACACACTGCTATTCGTTGCTTGGGCGAAACATTTGAAAAAAACAATACACACATGACAATGAACCGATCATTTTTTGCATAAACCAAGAAAAAAAACATAGATAATGATGTTTATTATGTCTGCATCAAGTTTCCTAACCTTCTTAGTCTATTGACTATGCTCTAATAAATTATAGCTATTGCGCAATGAATGAGCTCGAATTCTTTAGATTATAATGTGCAACATTATATCAACTGACACATCTTTCTGGCAGGAATTTTATCTTCATATATATTCTTGTCTTTGTATAAATGTCGCATGTCAAGTGAGCAGACGTCACATTGGTCACTTTGACAAACAACAATCCATGAGAATGGAACTTGTGGTCGTAGACAGGTTTAGTAATTTAGCAATGCAGAGACCAAAATCATGAGTTAGAAACAAATTGATTTGGAGGAATAGTTTTAAAATTTACTGTGGACTCGCTACAGTCTGGCCGTGACACACAAGCCTACGATTTTACGCATAGAACCAAAAACATCTTTATGCACATTATAAAAATAGTAGCGATTGTTAATTACCTGTGTGGATTGAGCTGGCGGAGTTTGGAAAAGCGGACAAGTTTCGAGAGCTGGAAAAGGTAAAGCAAGTGGGGCAGTTGAGAGAGGTGGGGCAGTTTGGGGTGCTTGAGTTGCTGGGTTTGCTGGATGAGCTTCGGGTAGTAACAGAGGTGCAAATGCCTGTGAAGGTGGGTCATTTTGACGGGTTGAGGAAAGAGGGGCAGCCGAGAGTGCTGGGGTAAGCGAGGAAACGTGCTGTACTGTGGAAGGTTGGGAAACTGAGGGACGTTGTGATGATGGTGGAGGTGGCGCTGGTCGGCGTGGTTTCAAGACTGATGCTTTACCTACATTAATGTAAACATTACTTTAGTTCAAAATAAAACTTTTATCCGGATATCATATTATATGCAAAGAATTAGTCTGATTGTCCTCTTAACAGTGCCATGACATAGTGCTATAATATCCAAAAAGGTGCTATATTTATATAGGAAACTACCTTTCGGTAAGAGGTCATGAATATTTTCGAACAGCTATAGAGAGCTAAGACATAGAAATTCAATTACACATAATTTTAATCACCTTTGGACTTGTGTTTCTTCGCTGCCTGGCTTGATATCGCTTGAGGAACTTGGTGTACCGTTTCTCGATTACTTCCTTTGTTTGGTCGATTTTTCTCTGCCACAAGTTCTGTAACTTCATAAGGAGACGTTCCTGCTGACTCTACAAGTATATAATGATTTATCTTATTTGTGTTCACATGATATGCATAATCTCATGATAATATAAATTCATCCTTCCGGAAAAAACATCGCATTGCATGGCTATATAAAGCATTGTTTGTGTAACAAACATTTTGGATTTAGAGACTGTTGCCATTTAATTTCTCATGTTATGATACGTTATAAGATTATAAAGTTATTATTGAAAGTATAGATGTAATTGAAAAAGAGAGAGTGCTTGAATAGGACATAAAATGCTTGACTTAAGTTGTAAACTGATTGCAGTAGATTTCGTATAAATCCTCTAAAAATTAAGACTGAATTGCATAATAAATGTTAGGAGAAATTTTAATTGTATAAATGTACAACAAAATTGTACTCGACATTGCCATCTATATATACGTAACCTTCAACATTTAGTTAATCTATATCCAGGGGCGGCGCTAGAGGGGCGGGGGGGGGGGG